AGCCCTAACACAGAGCCTATGAATCCTTGCGGAATTTATTGACATAGAACCCACAGTCACACATTATTCACTGTAAGACTTACAGATATTGGTCAGTAGATGATCTCACTACAAGGATAAATAATATCTTATAAAAATTAATGAACATTTTTGTTTTAGTCTTCTTTTAGAAAGTGTTTTGTTTTTTTTTGTCGTCACAAAATCAGGATATGTGGCATTGCTACAGTTTTGCGCCTCTGCATGCAAAAAGGATGTTTGAAACAAAACCACAAACTGAAATTGGATTGCTGACGAAAAAAAAGGATTTGAGTCTATGTTGTCGTATCATACAAATCATATGATACAAATTTGACACAGGCATTAAGGTAACATACTGTTGTGCTCAGAATGCATGAGCTTGTAAGGGCCCCAACAGGGACCAGTCAGCTCTCTGCCCCAACCTGCCCCTTTCCAGCCAATGAAAGGAGGCAGCCTTCTAAAACCCACACCACTCCTCACAATAAGGTAATTGAGAATAAATAACTAATAGTGACAAATAATAATACCTAATGATAAATTGTACACCAAAATAATAAATAAGAAATAAATAACTAAATAAAATAATTGCCCTTTAAAAACATCATAATTGCTACCATGCAAATGTTTGTTTAAATAGTTCTCCACAAAGATTTACTCCTTGGTCAACATTTTTTGAATGATTCAAATTTTCAATTTTTTTTTAAGGCTAACCGCTGGACCACTGGAAGACAGACCTGTCAAGATATGTAACGAGACCAAATTTAAAGTTTCCAACAAATTCACATTAATATTTTTGTAATCTTGGTAATTTTTTTGATCAGCAAACATACAGTATCTGATAGTAAATGAGGGTCCCACAGCCAATCACTAGAATTTAGAGCTTTGAATGTTTCCATTTCATCAGGCATAATATATTAAAGGCTCTAAGTTAATTATGTTGTCATCTCGTGAGAATTCTCCTCTAAATACCTGTACTATTGATATTTAAAGTAGCACAGACAGTAGAAGGGTGACCCGAGGGTGAACCACACCAACAATAGCTGATTACTTTCAATCAATTTTAAATGAATTACAATTCAAACACGGCATTGTTTTTATTAGCTGGAGGCCACTGGAAATACTGAAATGCTACAATTGTAAAGACGGAACATAATTGCTGTTGCTATGGCAGTTAAAAAGTAACACGTACATTTGAGGAGGCTTGGTCAGATCACACGCCAGGAATGTCAGACGAAGTTATTCCAAGAAAGCGTCAAGTATGTTTGTTTTGTTACTGTTAATCACTTGGGAATTCCACCACGTAGATATAATAATGTTTCAGGAATTTTGACTGTAGCGATTGGGATAATGTTTAACGTATGTTTTGTTTCTCTTTAGTTATGTGACACATCACTTAGGGTACTTATGTGGATACTTTAAGAAAGGTCTGTAAGTTAACGGTCAGAGGAACACATTGTAAATCAAATAATATTATACATCATAGTTGCTAACTAGCACTGTGAACACAAATCTACATAAATGATAGAAACAGTGTTTAAATAAAAGAAAAAGGCTTTACAATGGTATTGTGCATAGCCCTCGACAAAAAACTTTGTTCCTGTATTTGAGCACTGCTTCTATCTATTTGTATTTGATCCACAGTTTCCAGTGGAATGCCTATTTGACAGATAATAATGTTTGAGTACACAGGTCTACATTACATTTGGGCTTTATGATCAAAATTGTGACAGATTACTAATGAGATACTACAACTACAGAGGGCGCTATAACAGAAAACTCCTCATTGGACAAAAGTTAATATGATTTAGGGTTGAGTGGCAATTAATTATTGAACCCTAAAATAAACAAAAGCATTGCCTCCAATTGTAAGGGGGAGGGGGTTAATACTTGCTATCAATCAATCAATAATTCAATTAATCAATCCATCACAGAGGTTATCCAAGTAATCCAGCATGGGTACAGTATACCTAACCTTGTGGCCTCCAAGCTGGATTAGGGCTAGAAAGTTCATCGTCTCGCCTATCAGACAGTCAAAATGGGGTGTTTCATTATCGTTAAACCTTGCCAGAACATTCTATTAAAAGTAAGGGAAAACATTAACTTATTGGGTGAGTGAAAGGTTACAAAATTAGTAAATTTATGTAATTTTAGCTCAAAAATTAATTTTAATATAAAAACTATAACATGCAGCTTGCTAAATTGAGTTCAGAGTATAAAAATTATCGCATACTTTCATTACACAATTGTCTTCAGTTCATTAAAAGTAAAATGGAATGGCTTACTAGTCATGTAAACAAATGCATCAGCTTCGTTTGTCTAACACTTTTTTTAATCAATTTAAAAATCAACACTATTTTTACCAAAAATTAATTTTACAGGACATTGTCCCTTCCGCAATGTCTAGCATGATTTTGACTGACCACGAGAGACCAAGGTGTAATAGAAGTTATTTCCGGGCATGAGATGACCCACATTTAGCTTCCTTTGTTCAAGGCAAACAGAAAAAAAACTGTCACTCTTTTTAATTTTTAATCAAAATACCATCGGGACCAAAAATAGTGTCTCCTTAATATGGGTGTCCCCTGAATAGGGGGTTGGCTGTAGTGTTAAAAGATATACTTTGGTTCATTCCATGGCGAAAACAGTGTCCCCTGAATAGGGGGTTCGCTGTAGTGTTAAAAGATATACTTCAGTTCATTCCATGGCTAAAACAGGGGTTTCCCTTAAAAAAAGTGTCCCAAAAGAGGGTTCCTACTGTATACATATGTTTATTTATTTGTCTTTATTTGTTTTATTATTTATTATTTATTTATCATTTATTTATTACTTATTTATTATTTATTTATTATTGTTATTATTTATTTTATTATTTATTATTTCTTTATTTGTTTTATTATTTATTTATCATTTATTTATTTATTACTTATTTATTATTTATTTATTATTGTTATTATTTATTTTATTATTTATTATTTCTTATTTGTCTTTATTTATTTTATGTTTATTTATTTGTTTTTTATGTTTATTTATTTTATTTGTTTATTTATATATAGGCCTATGTTTGTTTATTTGGATATATGTTTATTTATTTTTTTTATATATTTGTTTATTTATTTGATACATTTATTTGTCACATACAAATTTGACACTGCAGATAGAGCTTTACTGAAATTCAAATAAATGACATTTTTCTCATTCACATGATGAAACTACATTTCCGTCTCTAGCGGTGCTCCTTGATTGGAAGTAGTTATTTGCATTGTAGCTGTGTGAATAACTTTACCACGTGGGTTTCTTCTTATCATGTCCAAAGAAACCTTTGTCATTTATAGATGTGATGGTAAAGGCAGGCCCTAGACAGGACCCACTCTGGTCTACGCATGATGACAAGGTGAAACAAGCATACCTTGCACTGTATATCTTGTGGTGGTGGTAGAATTGGCGTTACCCAGGGCCACGACGAGGACGCTTCTAACATGACCCCATACCACATTGGTATGACAGATACTTTCCCTATACATCAAAATATGTTATTGTTTTCCTCAATGATGGAATAAAATATTTCAAAACATGAACTTCAGAGAGCAAAGTAAAATTTAAAAAAAAAAAAAAATATCACTGCATCGAAATTTAAAAAACCTTGCTACAAGCAGCAACATATTTTTTCTACAGACTTTCATGGCCTAATCATTAATCTTCATAAATTACCGACAGCTATCATGAGTTCTGTAATTTGTTATTATACAATAATGTTTCCATTCTGTAAATGCTTTTGATTTTAAAGTTAATTGGCAAGCTGATTATTATTTTAAACTCTCTAAATGTCACACATTTCAGCCACGGACAGCCATGCTTTATAGTAATAACAACAACAATGCTAATAATTAGCATTCCAAGAACTGAAATATATGGCAACCATTTCCAAAAAAAAAAATAATCAGGTTGGTATTTAGTATTCAGGAATTGGTATTCTTTTATTGTCATTTGTAAACTTAACATTACATTCAAATTGTTTTTATTTATTTTTTATTTCAACACTAATTTGTGAGGATGGTTTCATCCAGCCTGAGCTGATCATTAGAGACTCTCAATACATAAAACAAGAAACAAAGGAAATGAAATAGATATACTAAATAATTGAAAAATAATTTAAAGAATTATCAACAACAAAAAAATGAAAAAGGAATACAAGTTAAAAATAACAATTCATGAATAAACAGAGAAATATAATATATGTATATAAATTTATAATGAAGTTAAATTTACTACAAATTCGTCAAAAGGAAACAGAATAATAATAATGACAAAATAAATGAAAAGTAAAACAAAACACAGTTTAAAGAATTAAAAGAAAACAGAAAAAAAAAAGAAAGAAGAAAAACAGTTTTTGGCCAAATAGCACTGCAAGGGTCGGTTCTGAATAGAATTTAAAGTAGTAAATAAAAATATGATTTACAGTAATATAATATTAGATAGTTGAGAATTTCTCAAAGTGTTAACTGAGTTACTTCAATTGTCATCACAAGAATATCTTTTCAGAACCATCTACATGGTGTAATGCTAGAATTTAATATATTATTAATTCATGCACCTTCAAACAATATTTACATATATGACGTAATTTAATATAAGAAATGAAAACTATTCCCTGCCGGACACCATCCCGGTATTTCCGAGTCCACAATTTGGGACCAGAATTGTACAACTATGGTTATGTTCCAAGGTAAAAACTATCCCCGCCAGATACCATTATGGTGTACTGGTTTCAGGGCTGGAAGGAGATGGAACTGAAGGAAATTTTTGACTTGAGATCCTGATCAGAAGAATAATGACGATTTTATCTTTATATTTCCCAGAGGAATTAACTGGAAAAGATTATTAAATTGACAAATGCATGCATAAATGGAATGGCTCTCGATTATAGTACAGTATTCATAATTGATTGACAGTAAAGAGGTAGGCTCACAACAGGATTGACTTACAGGTTACCCTATCCAGATCAACCAGTTGCTTCATCTCATCAGCTATAATTACAGGGATTGAAAGGCCTTCAACACACCTGCATGTAGAAATATCTTACCCTTCAACCTATCGCATCAAAAAAAAAAAAGGCTATAAACTGACAAGAGACATTAAATCACTGGTCTGTATTATTTTTAAACAACTATCATAAACATAAAACACAACATTAATGTTTGTTCTTGTTTTATAAATAAATAAAAATCAGAATAATTATATAGCAAAAAATCATTGTTATTGCACTTTGGGACTATTTTTAGATACTTAAAATATTAAATTGGTACTGGTAAATAGTTACCTCATTTCTAATATGTTCTATTATAAAAGTTTCTTCAACTTAAACCAATATAATCACTGTTTTGTTTGTTTCATACTATTTTTTATCAAAAATCCTATTGAAAAATTGGCTTTTCATGAAAAAGTTATCAAGCGAATAAACGACAGGTTTCAATTTAGGGTACATCTCATGAACGCCTAAATTCCCTAATGAGAGTGGATAGTAGGATAAAAGGCAAAAGGCGTTAAACTGACTTCCCTCCCCTTCCCTTTAATTATTCTTTAAATGCGTGGTCAGCCTGTCAGTTTTAATCTTGTATATCAGTCCATATTGTTTTCAAATATATTTTCCTATATATTTTTGTCTACTTTATACAATTTTTTTTTTGGTTTTTTGAATTTTCTCGTTTTATTGCATGAAATTATAAAATTGTATGATTTTCAAGTTCTTTGAATCCTCATAAAAACTATTTATACAATTTTTGGCCTGTTTTAAAAAAAAATAATCTTCGAATTATAGGAATAAGTGTAGGTTAGACCTTCATGCCATATTTGGAAGCTTTGCAGCTTTTCAGGGTCTAAGCTTGTATCACAGGGTAACATCACTTTAAGTTATTTACAAGCGAAATAAGTATGCTGAAATATGACTCAATAAAAGGGACCAGTTCAGTTGAATCATTTAAGTCTCATTCACAAACCTTTCTGTTTTATTCTTAGTCACTTCTTGACCAGCCGTTCTTGTCCATTTAACCGCAGTGTCATTGGTGGATTCAGCATTTTAGCCAGGATGGTGTGAGTGGCAAGAACCTGAAGTCCAGAGGGCGTGAGACCTATGGTCAACAGAGAAAGGTTTTTGGGTGTTCTCGTGGGTTTTTCATGTTCTTTTATTTGAATATTTTATGGGGGATATTTTTTAATATGTTACCAAAAGAAGTATATTTAGAAAATGGAATTGTTTAGATTTAGGCTTTCAAAAATACTTTAACACAGGAGGTTCTTTACCCCACTTTGCTACTGGTCTTCTAACTGGAAAAACTGTGTGGCAGTCTATAGATTTAATACAAGTGTTTAGAAATTACTTTATTTATGAACTAGCAAAAAGATCTGTTCATTAATTACTACAGTAGTACTACAGTTCGTAAATAACGTAATTTATTGAACAGATCTTGTAATTTGCTAGATTAGAACCACGGATCCTGAGATTCACAAAATGCACCATAACCTCCAAACCACAGCAGAAGGTTTATACTTAATTAATTTCAACATTGATTTCAACTCCTTGGCAAATGAGAGCAAATTTTGACATTGTGAACATGATAGAGCCTACAGCTGGTCTATTTTGCAATGTAATGGTGTGTATACCACATAAGTAGACATAATTAAACATAATCAGACGAGGTAATAACTAAAGCTAAAAGCTTGAAGTAGCAATTTGTTTGTCGTAAGCCTGTGTAGCGCTTTTACTTGTCGTAAGCCCTGTGAGTTTCAGTGAAATGCATCATGTATTAAGTTATTTCAACGTTACTTTGGGCGATTTACTTCTCAGAAATTTCGCTAGTTTTGTACATGCCCCTATAGTCAAGGCATATAAAAATTTGTCCTCATAGTAAAATACAGTACTTCGGAAGTCGCCAGTAAGTATGACCTTGTTTATGACCTCAATTTTTTCCCACAATACATTCGGGATAACTAAATGAGTGCCAAAAAAAGTAATTTCCTGTGATGTGTAACACTTGTGGGTGCCAAGTTTTCCTCTTTGCATACAATTTCAAATTAATCATTACAAGACAAAAATGTGATGCCTTACTAGTTACGGAAAATTTGCTTTAAAGAATTTCAAGGTAAATAAAAACATCGGCCCTCTATGAGCATCGTATGGTCACTCGTTCATAGTAACATGCGTATATTATTATCGTACATCTGTTGTAAATTTACTTCGGGCGGAAGGCCGTCTTTGAACATGCTTAATTAGCATGTACAAAAATGGAATTTGGAGAAAAAACACTTCAAAAATAAGCCACTCGCCGTATTTGATAATTTGCGGATTTGTACTAGAAGCTTCTTGTAACTTATTTTTATGATTAAGATTATATTATTTGTGTTGAGCTTATATAATTGTATAATCAAATTAAATATATAAATCACAGTACCAATAGTTTTGAAAGTTATTACTTATTCAATTTAAAATTATGAGAAAGTATTTTCCTTGCCAAGACCCTTCCAATTAAAGACCACTTTTCTGTGGTCCCAAATAAGCAAATGTCTTTCATTTTTATTATTCTAATTTGAGAGCAAAGCTGCTAAAGACCATGAAAACCCTGGTCCCAAAATTGGTCTTTAATTGGAGGGAGACCTGTATTCTTCTCATTGGCCTTTCTGCGGGCTCAGCAGACACTTAGCTTTCATCTAAAAATTTATTTGTGAGAGTAAATCCGGGGAGGTGCATGATGAGATATTGCGTCATAAGCAGAAATTTGTCTCACTCGGGCCAGATTTTACCTTTTTATCATACTGTATTGGCCTCCTGATTGTCTACTAACGTGTATGTGTATTATAAGGCAGTAAAACACATATTCCTGCTGGGAGCCTATTTTTTATCGGTAATAGCCGGTAGTTAAATAAGAAATTTTGCAGTGTCTCAATGAATTCTAATGACATCATTTGGTCCTGTTTCAACAGCATTTTGTGGATTTTCTAGACTCTACCAATACCTTTCAATAAATAAACACACCTAATCAAACATATAATGAACTACAGATGTACTAGAAGAAAAAAGGAAAAAACATTGCCAAATTTTTGATTGGAAAATTAATGACAACCTCTATTCATCAGAAGGTGCAACTTAACTCATTTGTGGTGGAAGATTGTATTACTGTAATCATGGAGGAATTAGTTTAATTTAATAAACTAATTTCTCCATGCTGTAATTTATTCATTATTTAGGCAAAAGTGGCAAGTACTATACTGCTAATAGAGAACTTGAACAAAGTAGCACACCCTTCACAAGACAAATATGCACACAAGATGCTACATGAACCATGCCACGTTATGAGGCTTGTGGAGCTGTTATTGGTCATGCAAAACTATCCCGTCAGACAGGAATTGAACCCAGGACCCTGGGATTGAAACCGGCAAGAATCTTAACCACCATTTCATGCCTATTATCTGTTATCCTTCACCTCAAAATGCTAGTTAACCTGACTTCATGTTTCTCATTAATTTTGATCATGTTAACCCTGGATAACCAAGAAATATAAAAGTTAAAATAAGATCCATTGCTATAAAATGCTAGTTATCTCTACCCCAGTATTTACCATGCATGGTGACTAATATTTATGATGTCAGTCCATTTTCTTTGCGTTGGTAATGTGTTTATGAATAAATGGAAGATTTTCCGCAATAAAATAGACATACCCATTAAAAAAAAACATGAATTAAAAATTTCTGACCCTTGGTACTTAAAGGATTTTTGTATGAGCAAAACAACTACAGGTCCAACGACTGTTATGAATATTAAAAAATGATAGGCAATGGTGCATCTATGAGTAAGTGTGGGGGTAAAGCTCCACAAAAAAAATTTACCAGATGGCTTTTCCCTTCCCCATCTCAACTAGACTGACTAAGAATTTATACTCAAGTAGTTGATCCCCTAATATTATTTCTTTCTCCCAGTGAACATCCTACAATTTTTCATCGCACCCATGGGCTGGGAAAGTGCGCAACCACATAAATGGTGGCTAGGGGTATTGAGCATTTCCCTAGAGGCTTATACACATCATCTTATTTTTTCATGCCACTGTTAGGTGCTACTACTGCTACAAGTGTAGTAGTACATAATAGCAAGGTTTGGTATTACATGCATTTTTTAAGCACAAAGACTACTTCTCTAAGCCTATGCTACAGTACCCCTAAACCCCTTAAAAAAGGCCCACCCAGAAATGTTGATAGTCCTAGATGCCAATTCATTTTACAAAAAAATTGAAGCACGCTATTTACTGTAGCAGAAGGCAATACTGTAACTAAAAAGTAAAAAAAAAAGAAAAAATGAAAGTTTCTTTTTACGACTATGCTCTTAAGTTGCTCTGTGTGTTTACAATTCCCTTAAGAACACACTCTTTTAATTGCTCTGTGTAGACCTACAGTATATACCCTGTACAAGTCTACAAGATGTTTTGAGCTGCTCTGTATAGTAGTAGCAGGAACACTACAATATTAAATAAAAAATCTCGTTTTTAGCAACACATGTAGCCTTTTACAGGATGTGATGTGAAGTGATAGTCGGATTATTAGTCGTGTTTCCTCCGATGGTAAATTGTCCGTAAAAAAAAAAATTTTATTATGTAATAATAACAGATATGTTATCGAGGTGAACACTGTATTCTGATTGGTGTGATACACATACCATCCAATTCTTATTCATTTTCTTTGTTAAGGCTAGTTTCCATAAAATTGCTACATACTATCTCCGACTGATTGGTTGGTAAAATCGGGAAGCCTTCCAGATTGAGTTAAGATAACTCCGCAGATAAATGATTGCAGTGAACACACTGCCGGGGTGTCAGCTGGTTTCAGACCAAGGGAAATAAATCCAACAATGCAGAACTAAATCCCTATTCCAATGGAAACTTACTGGTCATTGCAAGTATTTTAATTCACTTAGTGGAACTAATTTGCTGCCATGGGGGGGAGGGGGAGATTACTGTACAGTACATCTCCCACACACCCAGCCTATGCCCATGCACTGTAGCAAAAGTGTAGTAATTATAAAGAAACAAGGCTTTACTGCATG